CTGCCTGAGGAAGTACACCTGTGAAATCATAATCCAGGTGTTAAGGCAGGACAGAAGTCTCCAGTGGAGCAGAAAGTTAAGAACACGAATTGGTCTTCATTTTCAAATGTTCTTGATGCAATCACAGATCTCAGAAATAGGTCTCTGCATTTAAATGGTTTCTTTAACACCTCCAAGAAATTCCCCAAACCAATGTCAAGCAACTGCTCTTCTCATTCTCAGATATTGCTCTGTGCTCTGCAAGGATTTACTTTATACTCTCCAGTTTACACAGCTAAGTGTGCTGATAATACCTTGGGTTTTCTTTCCTGTGCTACCTTCAGTAATGACTGGCAGTCAAAAGGCTTAAATGGGACAGATGAATGGATGCATGGATTTCATGCAAAAGCCAGAATAGCAGCAAGTCTCCATCAACTATTCATCATGTTTGCAAGCAGGAGTAAAATTATTCAAGTTCTCACTGGATGACTGGATTCCATAAGCAGCAAAGCCGTTTTTACTAGCACTTAGTAGGTAAGAAATGGTCGTAACTTTCTACTGAGATACTCTGTTCCACTCTCTTGTCAAATGGTTTAAGATTAGACCAGTGTAATTATTTCCCAATTAGTTTAAAAGCACAGTTTTTCAAAAACAATCTGCCTCCAGACAGCAGACCATTATTGGTACAATTCAACCTCTTTCCATGTATTTCAGGAGGTGATGGGGAGGGGTCTGACACTTTCTTGTGACAGAGATAAACTCTTCTCTCATGGCCAGCCTAGGCATTTGAAATCAGGAATTTTTGGCATGGAACCCCTTGGTGAGAACATGAGAGCTATCAGCAAGAATCAAAAATTGGTCTGATTTGGAAGAGACCTTTATGATCGCCTAGTTCCAACCCAACTCTTCTGAAAACACTCTCCGAAACCCCTGGAGTTCCTGTTCTTAAACACTTACTTTTTTTAACATATCTAATGAGAAGTGCTGCTAGAACAGCAAGTACCACTAAATTAGTTAGAGCATGGGGGAAATACAGCTGTTACCTATTACTGCAGGAGCACATAATACAGTATTGCTTTTAAACTCTATATTAAATGCAAAGCTCCAAACATAGAAGCTCCCCACTTTTTCACAGAACTAAATAAACATTGAATGAAAAAACCCAAACACTGTTCTTTGGATTTAACACATCTTACACACTACAATGACTGTAGTTTTCAACTACTGGGTAAATGCTCCTCCCACTTAATCTGTGCAGGGTTTATTCCTATACCATCTAGGAAGAAGGGAAAAAAAGAAAAAAGAAGATGAAACACACATATTACAATTTATTACATTAAACTTGCAGCTCAAAAAACATACCAGCAAGATACAACTATTACATCAGGTCATCATGCAGCTATTTCCTATAACCAAAAACATGGGAACTGACAAGAAACCTCCAGCACAGAGAATCCAAGTTATATATTTGGACAAAACTGAATCGGTGGTTTAATATCTTTACCTCATGCAGAAGTTTAAACAATGCTGTAATATTATTAAATTCAATTTACAGTGTGTAGAGTTGGTGAAACATGAGACAGTATTGATTCTAGCAATAAACATTCACTGAAACTTTAATACAAAAACTATTAAGAATATATATAAACTATATCCTTACCATTTGTTATAATGGCACTTGTTGCTGCAGGAACTTTGAACTAAAGGCAATATGAATAGGACAAAACAGCATAAGAGACATTGTTAAAGCAGAAAATACACGGGTAATACTAAAATTATAATTTTAGCTGGTTCAGGTACAAAAAAAAGTTAGAGAAGAGTTCACATTTATAGATATAACTATCTTTATTTAATGGAAATGGATGACTATTTTAGTAGTAATTCCACATATGTAATGGAGATTTTTTCCTAACTATTGTGCAAAAGTACACCTGGACATGTACCAGGTTGCTCGACAACATGAAGGAAAAAACCCAATAGATATCACACACTACAAATGAGGTTTTTTTCTAACTAAGCGAAATGTGGTTAAGATTTGGCAAATTTTAAGTTTTTGCTAAGGCAAAATAGCCAGAACTTAAATACTTCTCTGCCCTGAAAGTTTTAGTTACTGAGAGAATAATGCACTCCCCCTTGAGAACGACTAAGAACGTTACCCAAATTTTGATCTTTTCCATATGTATATAATTTAAGGTACTCTGAAACTGGTTCTTGAGTCACAACACATTGCATAAGTTAATGTTAAGCTATGCAGTTCAAGGAACGAAAAAACATTCATATAACACAAAAGTTATCTGTCATTCTTTTCAACGCCACTTCACAAGGGGCTTCATTCCTGGGGAAGGGTTTAACAATCTTTTTTTACTCTTTGTTTACAAAGCACAGCATTCTCCCTGTTCTCAAAGAGATGCAAAAAGCTTCAGTGCTGATCCAGAGTAACCTGTGGTCAAACAGCAAAACTCCCATAGATACTCAAAATACACCAATTAAAAGAATGATTTGCTAAATGTGAAGATTTAAGTTAGTAATGATTCTTTAAATACATTTCTCAGATGATCCTATCACTAACTAACATTGTTACTAACTAACATTCCATGAGTAGGTGAAGTTAACAGGTTCAATGGCAGCCCCCACCAGAAGTAGCACCTCCCTTTCAACATCTCCAACTACTCAGTCACACTCATTTTTGGTACCTCATACTTGTTTGTTAGACTTTTCAGTCTAGATCTCTATGTGTTGGCACAGCTGTATTAATACAGAATAAAAATAACTGGGGAAAACATAGTAAAAGCCTCCATTAAATATCTTCAACAGCAAGCAATATTCTGTATAATGTGCTCTTCATGTAAATTTACAACAAAATCAATCCGCAGCCTCCCCCCACAAGTGTTTCCTCTAATAATTTCTGTCACATCGTGGTGTAACAGTAACAACAAAAGGAGACTCAAGACCTGGAACCTGTTATCCTTCCTAACTATTTTATTACAATTACAATGTTCAAACAAAAGAAATTTTCAATAACCCAAACTGTCCCAGGTTTTCCTAAAACGACAAGAAGGAGAATTGTAGGAACACACTCAGTTGATTTTTTGCTAGTTAGATGAAGAGAACCATCATACTTCTGAGCACTGATTTTACTGTTTACACCCAGTGAATGTCTCTTAACCTTTGCATGCTTAATCTGAAACAACATGATACATCTCTTCAAATACATTATGTGGGCAATTAAAAAACCTAATGATATAGGATTCAGTGTGAAAGATCAACACACAGAAGCTAAAGAACACACTATCCACATCTTCTTCCCTTAAGTCAGTTTTTTCAACCTATCCCATATGGCTGATCTCAGTACCTTCCACAATCAAAAACTCTGTGCTCCTCCAAAGTCAGAGATTACTAAAAGTGAATGTGACAAGAGTTTAAGAGTTTCCCAGATAATTCTGAAGTATTTTCCTGATATTCCACATAAGAAATTTCAGTATTAAGTATCCAATAGCAGTACCTTTTAATTCTCTTTACTGTCACAATTTTTTACCTCGCTGATATGAAACAGTTAATTACAAAAAACAAAAAGCACCTCAATGCCATCTGCTGATGCATAAATTGTGCAAGGATCACAAAGTTTAGGATTCTGCAAGTTCTGCCAGGCCCCCACTGAGGCCAGTAAAGCTTGTGACCATCTGTAACCAATAGCAGTTCCTTGTGCTGAATTAACCACTGCGTTTTTATCATTAAAAGCTTTTGCTTTTTTTTAACATGCAAAATGTTAAAAACCAACATCATCACTCCCTACTTACTTCTTCTGCAGCAAACTTGAGGACAGCTGTGAAAGGTGTGCTCTCAGGCACGCTTAACCTGAAATCACAACACAAGTAAATACGTGGCTGCCAAAACAAACCAAAAGCAACTTTATCTCCTGTTAAACTACTGATTGAACCTTCCTTTTTACCAATGGAAGTACTTTTGCCAAAGCTGTGCAAGCACAAGTCAAGGGGAGAATAGGTCCCTGGTGGCTGTGAGATGCTTCAAGAGAAGCATTTTTAGCAGAGAATGAGAACAGCAGTTTCAGCAGATGTGGCACATCTCAGGAGGTGCGGGATAAGCTCCACAGCAATGTCTCCTCCAGGAAGAGAGAACTCGGCCTCAAGCTGTGGCAGGGGAACATCAGGACACATTTTTCACTGGAAGGGTTGTCAAAAGGGCTGTCCACCAAGTGGCTGGCTGCCCAGAGAGGCGGCAGAGTCACCGTCCCTGAAGGTTTTCAAGAAAGGCCTGGACGCGGCCAGTCGTGCCATGGTCTGGCTGTCAAGGCAGTGATCAGGCAAAGGCTGGACTCAATGACCTCAGAGGTCTTTTCTAACCTGAGTGACTCTGTAACTCTCTGGAAGACTCGCACGGCACTAGAGCAAACCGGGAAAGCCCCGAGAGCAGGGCTACCCACGGACACCGCCTGTCATTCCACACGGACGTCGGCAAAGGCCGTTCCCGCTGGCGGAATGCCCCGCCGGGATGGCCATTAGAGACCATTCGCAATGTGCCCCGTTTCCACTTCCCCGCAGCCCCACGCAGCGCCGGCACTCACACTTTGTAAGGCAACCGGGGGTCCGAAGTGAGCGTCACTTTAAAGGTGACCTTCGACCTGTGGAGAGAGCAGGGGGTTAGGGCTATTGGAGGGAGCGCGGGGGGCTGCGGGACCCCCGTGCAGTCCCTCCCTCCCTCGCTCCCTCCCTCACATGGTGCCGCCAGGGCCGCCGCCGCTCCCTCCGACACGTCAGCGCCGCCCGCAGCACACGGGCCTTCGCCGGCCCTGAGCTGCCCGAGGTGCGCCTGACCACAAAGGGAAGATAACACGCCCCGCCGACCCGCTATGAGGCAAAGATCGGCCGTGTTCTTCCTCCGTGCCTCACTGCAGCTGGGAATCAGAGAGTTTGAGGGGTGCGTCAGGCGCAGCGGAGGAGCGCAGGGAGGATTTCTAGTGAGGCAGTAGCAGTGGCTGTTCCGCTGCCAAGGTAGGGCCCCGGCCCCGGGACTCGGCGCTTCCGTAGGCGCTGAGGGAAGCGCAGAGGGATCGGGAGGGGAGCGGGACCGCGGGATCGGCGGGCTGCGATCATCCAGGGAGTATGTAGGAGTAGGGGGGTTGGTAACCGGAGGGCACATCTGGTGTGCTGTGTCCCATTCTGGACTCCTCAGTGCAAGAGGCAAGGGTGTCCTGGAGAGGATCCACAAAGATGATGAGGGCTCTGGAGCATCTTACGAGAGAGAGAGAGAGAGAGAGAGGAAAGCTGGGCCTGTTCTGTCTGGAGAAATGACTGAGAGGGGATTTCACTAATGCATATAAATGCCCCAAAGTTGAGTGCCAAGAGATTTTTCAGTGGTGCCCAGCGACGGGCAGGAAGGAGCAATGGCCAGGAACTAAAACACAGGAAGTTCATCTCGACGTGAGGAACAACTTACATTGAGGGTGGCAGACTGGAGCAGGCTGCCCAGGGAGACCGTGGAGTCTCCCATTCTGGACACATTCAAAACCCACCTGGACACGTTTCTGTGTAATCTGTTCTAGGTGATCCTGCCTTGGCTGGGGTTCGGAGCAGATGATATTCAGAGGTCCTTTCCAAGCCTAATAATTATGTGATGCCGTTTTGCTCTCAAACCAAAATGGTGTGCAAGTATTTGTTAAAATTATGCAGTCAAAGGTAGATTCAAACACTGATTCCTATCCCCTTAATATTTAAAACTGTCAGCATCTTCCTTGTGATGAGGGAAGACTGGGGTTTAATTTGGATAGTGATGGATACTTTTATGGCAGAAAACCAGCAGGTTCCAGTTTTGTGTCTGTGACTTTAGACAAATCCATTCTCTGTAATAAGGTGGCATGGAACTGCAAAGTAGTTTTTGCCTTTAATACTCATTTATCTGCTAATACAGATGATGACTGAGTTTTCAACCCTGATATGTCAGTATTATCCTTATAGAAGATATTTTATCAGATTTCCCTTATATTTTCCCCAGTTTCTGCTGTCTGCAGGAAGGACAGCATTCACTGCAGATGAAGTACTTGGTGTCACACATTGCTAGCCATACTGGTCATGGCAAAGCACTTTGTTGTGTTAAGTTTTGTTGGGGACTCATTAGGGTTTAAGTAGATGACATACTGTACAAAAGGCAATTGATACTTTGGACTCAATATTTTTTTTTATTAAGGACTGGCTTGTTGCCCAGGCATGAAATTCAGCTTTCCACCCTTGTGCTGTTCTTATATGAACACACACCAGACTGAAAAAGAAAAAAAAAATAATTAAAAAACTCAAGAAGTTCACTATCAGCTTGTCCAATTGCATGCATATTTCCCAGTATGTTCTGCATTTATGTTAGTGTTATTTTTCGTAGCTGTATTGAATTTGTGGGTTGTACTCATTTAGTAATCCATTAATGATCTCATGGCGTTTTAATCCCCCTGCTTTTAAGAGATCACACCTGAAATTTGAACTCATTAATAGTCATCTCTTAGTTTTTAACCTTGCATTTAGTGTAGCTAAAATCTCATCCTGTATTTATTATTGCCCTTTTCAAAATCAGCTGTTTTTTTATGTAGGTATGATGTTATGGCTTTGGTTTATGTATCTCTCTTACCTGCAGCTTTCATTAATGCACTGCTGTCTCCTGTTCTAAGGTCATGAATGCAGATGTGAAATAAAAGACTGATCTTTTCAGCACTTCATTTCTGGCCTCCCAGTATAAGTACTTCCCCTTTGAGGAAATAAGCTTATCCAAATCTTCATATTGGAACTGGACTGTGTCTAGTACCCAGATTTATTTGGTTAAAACCAGTTTGAGCATATGTGTGCTGTAGTGCTGAGAACAATTTAAATCCAGGTCTGGCTAGTCATGTTTTCTGGCCACGTGGTCTTGTCTTCTGTCAAGCAAAGGAAGCAAAACTTGTGACCAGGTAGAGGATCTGTTCAGGGAACTGATTTGGCAAAACCCCAAAAAATTTCATTTTAGATGGTTTAATGTGGTTATCTTCACAAACCACCAACAAAGAAGGACATGAGGAAGCACAGCTAGTTGGCAGTGATACTGTACTGCACCTTAGGTTGGCTTGAGGTGCTGTGGAGCTGTATTCTGAGCAGGCATCAAGAGTTTCATGGTAAAGCCAGGGTGTGATGGGCTGACCCTGGCTGCATGCCAGCTGCCTGCTTACTCCCCTCCTCAGCTGGGCAGGGAAATGAAAACATAATGGAAGGCTCATTGATTGAGATAAGGGCAGGGAGAGTTCAGTCACCAATTGCTGCTAAGGGCAAAACAGACTTGACTCAGAGTAGTGAGAAGTAAAGTGAAATCTTAAAAACATTCCCCCCACCCCCTTCCTTCTGGACTGAACTTTGCTTCAGAGTTCTCTACCTTTTCCCCCCAGTAAAGTCCCTTTCACAAATTACTCCAGTGTGGATCCCTCCCAGAGATCACAAGTCCTGCCAGCAAACCTGCTGTGGCACCTGGAGCACCTCCTCCCTCTCCTCCACTGACCTTGGTGCTTGCAGAGTGGTTTCTTTCACATATTCTCAGTCCTCTCCCTGCTGTTCTGTAGGTTTGGGGTTTTTTTTCTCCTTTACTTTGTTGTCTTAGAGATTCTACCAGCGTTGCTGATGGGCTCAGCTTTGGCCAGCAGCAGGTTCATCTTGGAGCCATCTGGTGTTGGCTCTTTCGGACATGGGGAAGCTTCTGGCAGTATCTCACGGACATCCCCGTAGCCCCTGCCATTAGTAAAACCTTGCCATGCAAACCCAACACACAGGGTCAAGATCTTCTGATGTACATTCAGGAATCCCAGTGATTTCACAAAAGGAAGATCTCTTCAGTTCTGCCATATCAGAATTTTCCTATGCTGTCTCAACCTGTTCAAAAAGCTGGCAGGGCTGACTTATTTTCTTTAGGAGAATTTACAGTGATTAGAGGAAGGAGAATGTGCTTGATTTTTCTCTTTTAGTTGGGAGACTTAATGGGACTTGTCCTATCTGCAAACAAGCCAGGGATGGTTTAGAGGACTGTTTCACTAATGGGTTTATATACAACATTCCCTTCAACTCCAGAAAAACTAGTTCATTTCCAAAAAAAAAGTCTGCCCTCCTTTCCCTGTGAGTGAAGCCAGAGAAAAAAAATTAATTCCTTACAAAATTTGTTTTTGCTACAGCTCTTAATTACCCAGATTCAGATACGTTGTGTTATAGCAATGAGACCTAAATTTGACTTTCCTAGCTGTATAAATGACAAAAGGAATGACAATTTCAGCAATTAATTAAAACAGTTAGGATCTCTGGCAATATGTAAATGCAGTTGTTCAACAGAAAGTTTTTAGGTCAGGAAAATGAAAAAAAAAAATTACAAAGAATTACAAAAAAAATATAGGCCCCTAAATGCTGTGAATGTTACCGAGATGAGCTAGGATATCTCTGACAACTCTTTGGGCAAGACCTTCTAGAGGTTAATAATTGCAAGAGAAAAGATAACTGCAGTAAATAGAAGCTATGCCTATATTCCACCTGGCTGGGCCCAGTGCAATTGAGTTGAGAAGGAAAATAAACAGAACAATGTCCACAACACAGAGTAGAAAGTACTGGAGAACTGTATTTAATGTTACTTAGCCTGCTTTTATGTTTTTCTGCTTTGTTTCTTATCCTCCCTTACTGTAGTCTCTGTTAGCTGCAGTTTATTGCTGTGCATTCAAGTAGAGCTGCCCCATGATGCAGAACTGGGACTCAAAATTTCCCTCTCCTTCAACAAGTCAGCATGACCAGTTTGGAGTCTGGCCATAAAATTAAGCTTGTTTGTAATTTTGAAAGATTTCTCCTTTGCTTCTGAAGCGCACACTATGACTTAAATCTTCTAACCTTTGTTGCATTTCTACATTCATGAGTGCTATTTGAAGAATGCCAATTTTTGTGCCATCGAAGAAGTGGCCATGTGGAGGAAGAGCTTATTACATAAGCATTTATGCTAAGAACTCTATGGAAGTATGAAATCTGGAATTTTAAGAAACGCAGTAAAACGTCTTCCACCTGCAAAATGTGCTTTTAGCTTGTCAGTTTTAAGACTAGATAATGAATGTGTGACTTCCAGGAATCTTTGGTGAAAAAGTACTGAATTAAGCCTTTTAGCAGGTACCAGAAAATTAGGTCTTGGCACCAGCATACTTTTCTTCCATTCTTGCAATGAATTAAATAATGAACATTGCCAAGCAACATGTTACAGAGGGGAGAGGCAGAGGAAACACAACATTTCTCCAACCAATCACTTCCATACAGAGCACATGGAACAGGCTGATCCCTTCAGCTCTTAGTGAGGCTGTGATTTCACCAGGAGGGTTGAGTAGTGCTAACTCCCTTGAAAAAAGAGAGGTCCTGTTTTTTACCCCCAAGTTTGCCTTGCAATCTGTTCCTGGCTTCTGGACTACTTCTTGATCTGTCTTTGTATTTGGGGGACCCAGCAGTGAGTCAATTCAAATCAGCAAAAGACGTGGATGTTTCCCTGCTGGCTCAAGGCATTGAATCAGCTCAGGGAAAGGTCTGAGCTGACACAGCAGAGACAAGGAGATCTTCCCCTTTGGTCAGTAGGGAATCATAGAATCACAGAATTCTTTTAGATTGTAAAAGACCTTTAAGATAACTGAGTTTTCAGTTAAAGGTCTTGGAGGTCAGGTTTCCTCTTGATATATTTCCTATAGTTGGGGTGCTGGAGTTCTCCTTTGACTAGTCCAGTCCTTTAACTCTCCTTTGGCTCAGCACGTTGGTGATTTGGTGCTCCCCTGATTTTCCCAAGCTCCTCAATGGTAACTCTGTGACCCATCCCCCAGTGCACGGAGGTACCTGCTTGGCTGCAGTCCTCCTGTGTCAGCAGGAGTCAGCTGCTTTTCTCAAGCAGAGTCTGGTAGGCTCCTTCTGTAGGAAGTTCATCCCTCTAGAAAGGAAGCAGTAGCACTACATCTTCTCTTAAGTTGTTTTTGTTTGATTACAGATTCCATTTTCTCCTTTATTTATTTATTTATTTTTTAATTAGCGGTGTAACATAAATTTAGCCTATTTAAACTACCCCATTGTTACACCCCAGTAAGAAGACTTTAACCTCCTTTAAGTAGAATTTTTACTTTGATGAGCCTGCAGCCCATATGAGGCTTCTGTTCCTTGTTGTGTCACTGAATTTCTCTGTAAAATAAAGGCATACATAGGGGTTTTAAAAAGCCTTGTTAAGCCAGAGATAGAGGAAGATTATTACACTCTAGAAATGCCATGCAGAGTTAATCATCAGACAATTTGACACATCTTCATAATCTTCTTCTAACAAAACAATAATTAAAACCTATTACAGTTCTCTTGTGTCACAAACATTTTACTAAAATAATTCATCAAAATGAGATGATCACATACAAATGTCATATTAGTCATATAGAAATCATAATACTAGGTCTCTAGGCTCCAGAAGTTTTATTTTATGCGTGTGTGTGGTTAAATTGTACAGATAACCACATTTCAAAACAAGGATTAATCTTCCAAAGTACCAGTGCTGGATTTTATTTTTTTTTTCAATTGCTTTGAAAAAGTAATTATTAAGAAATCTTTATCTTAATCAAAATGATAATTCAAGAATCAAGCAATAGGACAATAGGAAATAGCCCCAAGTTGTGCCTTGTGTGAGGACATCAAAATTTCCTCAGCAAAAGGGTTGTCAAACACTGAAACAGGCTGCTTGGGAAAGTGGAAGAGTCACCATCCCTAGAGGTATTAGAAAGACCTGTAGATGTGGCATTGAGGGGCATGGTTTAGTGGTGGACTTGCCAGGGTTAGGTTAATGGTTGGACTTGATGATCTTAAAGGTCTTTTCCAACCTAAATAATTCCATGATTCTATGGTAATAAGCATTTATCAGGGTAAAAGTGTAAGGAAGAACAAAAATTGCTTACTCTTTCTCATAGCTGACATTTTTTTTCATGTAATTTGATTTATGTGGTAAGGGCATGACATCATTACATATATATAGTGTGTCCTATTTTCAAGAATTTGTATGAAATCATTTTTGTTATGGATAATTTTCCAGATGAATAAGTTTTTGGTTATCCCAGTCATCTTAAAAGTATTTTGATTTATCTCTCTTTTGTAATGATGACAATTAAGGATGTTTTTAATGATGGCAATGCTTTTGTGATACATTGCTTTTATATGCAGGAAATGGCTTTAAAATGGTTTTAAAATGTTTTCCATAGAAGTCATATCCATGTATTAATAGGACACTAAGCAATAAAATTCCATCTTTTCATTTGAGACTATTTAGTAAATTGTAGTTATTGAAATCTGGGGGGAGGTCACCCATTCTTCTGGTGAGGAAGCGAAAACATTTTTATGGAAGATACAGATGTAAAGAAAGCATATCCAGATCCAGATATTTAACCTTTTCACTGCAATTGTTAACTTTATCAAAATCATTTTTGCTTGATTATGCAATGAGGACAGTTATCTTTGGTCTTGATAGAATATTTTATTAACTGTGCTTTGGAGAACTGTGAGGAGATTTTACTTTGTCAGCTGGTTGCCAGTCTCAGAAAATACACGTATCTTTATTACCTGTCTGCTGCAAGCAGCAGATTCTGTATTCTGAGCACGCTGGTCTGAAATGGCCCAGTGTTTATTTCATATAATTATGCAGATTCTTTTCTCCAGTGAACTGCTCTGTGTGTTGATTTTCTTGTGCCCATCATCAGGCTGTGACATTCTGTCATTTAGGTTTACTACTACTATATATTACAGTGGGTTGGCTTGCTACTGGACATAAAATCACCTTATTTAAAAGATGATTCAGAGAACTGGACAATACACACAAATGTATTGCAGACTTCAATAGTGAAACATAAGAGTGTACTGAAGCATAAATTCAGTTTAGGAATATGTTTATTGTGGTATCCCTTTTCTTTTTCCTGTGGAGAATAAATATAAGTCCAAACCAAGGTGCTTTTGCAATACTACTAGGGTAGTTTTCTTATTGTGCTGTTTCATTTCTTCAGCAGGTTGGTCCTTACATGCAGATTTAAATTATTAGCATCGTGAACAATTCAGTGAGAATTTTTCATCCAAAATTTCATCCTTTATGTGCAGCAAGAGTTCTGATTCAGCTCCTACTGCAATTTAATTGTTCATGAAGTGCCTAGGCTATGAGATTTTTTAAATGAGGAATACTTCTTTTTAATAAACTTTAAATAACAGGTTATTCTAGTGATTTCATAGTTAACATTTAACTAAAAAGAACTACACAGACACTTGCTGAAGTGAAGCAAGAAATTAAGTCAAATTATGTTTCCTCTTTTGCATGTAAAGACTGGTGAAGAAGTCTGAAGAAGAAATTAATTTCAAGTCCAGAAAGTTGTGATTCCAAGTGGCCTAGTACAAGATTTCAACTGTGATATCATTCACAGTTCTTTAAACAAGGTGACCTAGTATATATTCTCTTTATTCAGTCATTTGTTATGAAGATACCTCTTGTGTTGTTCCTCTCCATTTTGTTTTCTTTGATGGCAAGGCCAGAAGAGAGTTTATATAATCTGCAAGTATTATTGCAAGAGGACTGTTTTCTCTGTCATGCAGCTGAGGTTACACAGATCACTAGTTTAGTGTTTGAAGGGATTAGAAGAGAGATTTACAGAAGGTGGTGCATCTCTCTGAAAATAAAAGAGAAGTGAAAACCTAGATTGTGTTTGCAAAGGCTGGACTTTTAAATTGCCAAAGCTTTTTCTTTGGCAAAAAGATAAACACGACCTTTAATTTTCTTCATCTAGTGCAGGCCTTTCTAACCTGCTGTGGTTCAGGACACCAGCCTTCAAATTGTGGCTCTGTTTATCAGGATTTGCATTCTAATTTCTTTGGGTACAAAGCCAAGTATTTCTCTGCATGTCGCCTTCCTGTGGGCTTCTTAATTGATCAGGGGTTTAGCTGGAATGTTCTGACCTGGGAAATATGCCTCCTTGTGCAGTGCTTGCTGTAGCACAATGCTGAAGATTTTTCTGAACATTTAAGATGCTTTTTTGTTGGATGTGCTAAGAAACTTTTCTTTTTCCAGACCATTACACATAAAACAAAATCAATTCTAGTAAGTGCAAAATTATATTGGCATAAGGGATTTTTAAGCTCTGAAGCATAACAGTGTTTAGAAATAATCAAGAAACATGCAGAGAACAGAAAATGACCCTTAACTAGCAAATGAAGACCAGAGTCACAACTTCTTGTGCCAAATGAGTTTCTAAAGAATGTATAATTCATTTCAGTAACTTTGTGCTTTTCATTGCAGGGGGTTTTATGCAGCATATTAGCTTGTTAAAATATCTTTATGCTGTCTCCTAAATGCTACTGTTTAGCAAGGCATAGGAAAATATATTAACACCTTTAAATCCTCTGAGTGCAATAAATTTTAACTGCAAATACAACAAACACTACAACAGAATTTTTAGGGTTCAGCTGACCAAATCTTTGTGCAAATTTTGTAAATATGTATACCTAAGCTTGTATTTCCTTGTGTTCCCTTTATATTCAAAGTGAAATGAATGTACTTCTAGTGCACAATTTGTACAATTTCAAAGTAGACATCTGAAAAGATGAGCTGTTTCCTCAAAGTTCCAATTTCTTCCCAAGCTGGTAACAGGGAGAAGCCTAGACTGATTAGCTCTCATATTGACATCTACTTTGGGCAAACAACAGGGTTTGGTGACATGAATCCTACAGCTTGTTCATGCCCCTAAGTTGTTCTGGAGCTTCATTATTCAGGCCCCTGTTCTACTGTTCCTCTTGTATACTTCCTTCTTGTATACTTCAGGTACCCAATGGAAATCAACTTGATTTTGTTGGTTCTCTCATTAGAATATGGGGAGACAAAGCACAAAAAATAATACTTTCTTTAATACAATCTTTAAAATACCTGTGAAAATACCAGTTAACAGTCATTCCTTGGCATGAAAGTAAAATCACATTACGATCTGGAAGTAGAAGAAAGTGCAAATAGGCTTTCAGTGGATAAATACAGTAATGATTACCATTCTCATGTAATAGCAAAGAATAACCATATTGCACATTTCAGTTGAGGCTGATGCGATGCCTTCACAGAAGAAGGCATCTTTCATCTGAAGAATTATCTTTGTCTTCCTCCTGTGAAAAAAGACAGTGATGATGATTTAAATGTTCACCTTGATGTCTTACCTTTATGCCCTCTATCCTGAAGACTTCACTGGTACTGGGATCAGTCGTTCCACCACATGGAGTCAGTTTGGGCTACTTTATTTCTAACTTTATCAGATAATTATCTTTTTCTGAAAGCTTCATTGCACCTATTTCTTGAGCAGGTGGCAGAGGACCATGTGTACTTCTGAATGTCTTCAAGGATAAAGATTCCTTGTCTCCCTGGACAGCTTGTGCCAGTGCTCAGTCACCTTCACAGTGAGAAAGTGTTCTGCTGTTCAGAAAGAACAGTGTTTCAGTTTGTGCCCTTTGCCTCTGGTTCAATACACCAATTCAAAGGGAAGGAGCTGTACGGGAAAGTGTTGGAAGATGAAAAAGAAATAGATTAGAAAAGAATGGACAAAATTTGAGGGTGTCACCTCTCTGCTGCTCAGAAGAGTGGAACCAAAATGGTAAAACCACAAGGATTGTTAATTAAGTAGTAAGATCACTAAAACTACATAAAATGGGAAAATGAAATGAGCAAGTATGAGATAACATCAATCACGTTGCTAACTTGCAAAATCTACCCAAAACTGACAGAGGAAAAAAATTCCCTGAATTTTACTTTTTTTTTCTCATTAGTTTCATTATTGATTATGTTTGCACTGTCTGTATTTGAACATTTGTTTTTGTTAAAGTCTAGCAAAAAACTTCTGCCAATATGCTATTGTGTATATTTTTCCTTCTTCTTCTATATCAAATTAAATTTTTATCCTGAATAACTCCAGCATTACTTATAGTCTCCTTGTTTTCTGCTTTCTTTTGCTGATCCCTAATTTATTTTCAGTCCAAGCATATTTTTCCACTTATCTCTCTGCCTTCCCCATGCTGTACACCCTGTACTCAATCATGTTTGTATTGCACAAGGTACCAGTTCTTCACCATTTCTCACCTTCCATCTGTTTTTCTGTGATATGTAAGCCAAGAGATTGCTACTGCAAGACTATCTAGCCCTAAATTCATATTTTTCTGTTAAATTAGAATGTGCTGTCCAATGTGGATAATAAAGTCTTGGATCTTGTTTGTTTTCCTATGCAGAGTAATCAGTGATGCAAATTCAGACAATGTATTCCAAGTGAATCACCTGTATGGAGAAGCCAATGTAAATGTTGCCTAAAAAGAAGATTAGTGTCTCTCCATGGCAATACATCACATTATACCTATTGTAAAAATTCTTATTTATAATAAGAATTATTAGCAGATTTCCAAACACAGAAGACCTATTATAAAAATTGAAAAATACCACGTGGAAAAGCTATAAATTATTTAATAGAGTGTATCATATTAACATCCATAATAAAATGTAAAATGTGTCATATTAACAATTTTCCTTGTTTTTTTTTGTGATTCACAATGAAGCATGTTGTTTTGGCAGGAAGTTCAAAAACTAAAATGGTACTGTGACATTCATTATGTCATAATAATTGGTATTAATACCAATGTAGCTGGAATCATATTCTTACAGAATTGAGCATTCACAATTTAGTAGGTTTAGATGGTTTAGGGGATTTGGAAAGTGTTTAGTTTAGTTTAGTTTAGTTTAGTTTACTTTAGTTTAGTTTGACATCTAATTAAAAGTGTTTATTTTGAAAGGGAGAATGTCAAAGAAGTATGAGTTAGGTTTAGGTTTTTGAGGAGTGTTTGTAGGTAGTTAGTGAGGTCCATGGTCTATTCTACAGATTCAGATTAGCCAGAATCCCCAAGATCAGATAAGAGTGCATTTGCTCTGTTTTGCCTTTTTGTTTTCTTGCACAGTCTATGCTGAAATAATGCATGAGGTAGAATATGTTGGTTCCAGGTAAAGCTCCTATTTACTCGCTAGACAGGAAGACGATTGTGGAAATTAATGGCCTTCTGAAGCAGAATGACTGTGTTTGTTCAGCGACTTGGTGCCACATGGAAATGGTCCTGCTTGCTATTCATATTTTGTCAGACTAAACTAGTCTTTTTCACTTCAAAGAGAATCTTATTAACTCCGTTTCAAAGCCCATGAAGACATGTTTTATCAAAGGCTTTATCAGTATGGTGGAAGTGGATTTTCTAAGAAACCCTATTGACTTATTGAGTCAATTATTCTGTTCAAGCTTCTTGTATGGTTTTCAGAACATGAATGTTATAGGAAAGAGGTAATCTTGCTATTTTATGGCATGCTTTTTATGTTGTTATCTACATTATTCTTTTCAGAACTGCAGAATATCTGAGGCTGTAAGGTGCCTCTGGAAAAATTTTACTTCACCTCTCCTTTTTAAGGCAGTATCACCTAAAGCTGGTCACCGAGGTGTTTTTCCAGCTAAATTTGGAATATCTCCAAGGATGAAGACCACACAGCCTCTCTGGGTAACCTATGCCAGTGTTTGACTTCTCTTAGAGTAAAAGGATCATCTCCTTTGATGTGCTGGTGATGCTCTTAATGCAGCCCAGGAGGCAGTTGGTCTCCTTTGCTACTAGGAACATTGATGGCTCATGGTCAGCTTGTTGTCCACCAGCTCCCTTAGTAATATCTGGAAAACTGTTTTCAAGCCAGCCAGACCAGGGCTGTACTGATGCAGGAATTAGCAATATCAGTGTTTATGCCCTGGAACAATATGAAGAAAAGTGGATTAAACATTTAATCATGTGACATTTAGAGGAACTCTAAAGGAAAAACTGAGGAAAATACTCAGAATATTTTACTGGCTGAATACAGCAGTAAATCCACTCCCTTACTTTTCTCTCCTCGTTCCTGAATCAGCCCACGTTGCCCAACCTTTCTTTGTCTATTGTGTGCCTGAAATTGACTTGCCCAATTTATCAAAATCTTCCTTGTATTAGGAATCCCAAAACTGCACAGAGTACTCTGGATGGAATCTCAGATGCTGCCTACAGAAGAATCACTTTCCTTATTTTGCTGACCTCACTTCCTAATGCAGCCCAGTAATGCACTTGACCTTCATTGCTCACTTTTCTGCACGTATGATCTTCCTCAATCAGTTTTGTTACCTGATAATATTCCATCCCAGACACAGGACTTTTATTTGCCCTTGTTGAACTTTCTGAGTTTCCCTGAAAACTGTAGCAAAGACAGGGTTAATGACATCCACTGCTTTCCCATCAGCTGCATAGCTGATCATCTCATCATAGAAAGCTATTAAGATGCTCAGAGTTTGCCCTTTTTAAATTGATACTGATTAAATTGGTACCCAGTCACCTTGAGTCCATCATATTACCCAGATAAAAAATCCAGGAGGATTCGTTCCATAAACTTCTCACTGACATTAGAACATCTATTTTGTAGTTGTTCAGTTCTTTCGCTTCCTGGGTCAGATGTTTCTATTTTACCAGTCACCAGGAACCCCCCACACTTGTCACAACCTTTGTAAGGACTGTAGTAGCTTTGTAAGGACTGTAGCTTTGCAGTGGCAGTGGCTGGTTCCCTCAGCACTATCTTGTTTACTGAAAAAAACCCCTTCATCTGAGATGTTTTAGCATCTGCTTCTGTCTTCCTCCCTTATGTACAAGTACATATCAAGAAAGAGAGAAATGTACACGTTAATGTAGAGAAATTCCAAGCCAGCGATGCAAAAATATAGATCTTCAAGAAAATTTTAGAAGAGAACACAGCTTATATTCCTGAACTTTTTGAAGTCCAAGGGACTTCTGCAATTCACTTCAATGGATCAAAAATTTCAGTCATGCATATTTATGACTGTAAAATTTGGAATCTAAGCTACCTTTGAATCATGTGTAGAAATTTTTTGACTCCTTCTAAAGTTTTAGAGAGAAAAAATAATTGGAACTGGAAAAAAATCCAAAGAAGAACTGAAAAATGGGAGCATTCACAGTTGTTTTTTTCTTTAAACTCTTGTCTAATTCTATTAAAAATATGGGGTGTGACCTTAATGAAAATTCAATTTTTTGATTGACAGCAGATCTTTATGATGGGTTAATTTTAACCCATTCATGTGACTCTGTTCATACAACTTTGGTTAATACTCAAGCTAATACAGCTAAGCACACAAAAGGAAAGAAAATGCTTCCTAAATATATACTCCACTAGTCACATTTGCTGAACTGTATGACATGCATCTACAAACCCTTAGAAAAAGAAAGGATTAGTTTTGATCCACTCGAAATAGTAAATTAAGCTGAAAAGACATAGAAATGATTATGCTAGAGCAAGTGGACTCTTAATCCAGTCTGTTAAATAAAAACTGAAAAAGAACACATCCTTCTTTTAATATTTGCAAATTGCTTAGTTGGGGAGAGTTATTTTTGTTGTTGGCAACAGTTTAGTTAGGTTGTGGGGTTTTTTTTAAACTTCAATTCTGCAACACATATTTAGAACCAATATGTTAACATTTGCTTTGCTTGCAGAAGTATTATTCAAATAATAATTATTTTACTTCGTATTAAGTCTTGTCTGATAAACTCAGAAAATATTTTTCACCATGAACCTCAATATAAAAACTAATAGTGATGGTGTGACTTGCTTACCAACTTTGCCTTAGGAAGCAACAGGTCTTGTTTTGTTACCTGGCATGTGGAACTAGTCAGGAGAGTGAGACAAGGAACATTTTATCGTGGTCTGGTATGGCATGTGCCATCTTCATGCCATGCCTATCACATGGACTTTCTTGTGGATCTTGAGTATGTCCAGTCTGTCAGTCTGAAACCCGTGCTGGAAATCCTGCTTGGAAAGACAAATTTCTTAACAATGATGTATCTTATAAAAGTGCCTCCAGACCTTTTCTGGAGTCCCAAAGAATTCCTCAGAATGGTCTAGCAGTCACATTTCTTTCCCACTGTAAGAAAAAGTGTGGAAACCACTGGAACATCTGATTTTGCTATGCCCTTGTCTGTTCATGTAATCAGATCATTGCAGGGTGGGGGCATTTGGGCAGGACAACATTCAGTTACCTAAAAGTGATTTTGCTTGTGCCATTTGAAACACTCCATTGATCTAAGCCCACTACAAGGGGCTGGAAAAGGTGGTACACTTCAGAGAGATTTGCACCCTTCTTGCTCCTCAGTATGAAACCCAGGATACTAACAGGCAGCTAAAATGGTCCAAACATTGCACATCTAAATCCTGTATCGAGTGGTTGGGCACTGAATCACTCTTTAGTCCCAGGGATACCATCTGCATCTGTGCAGACTAAAGAAGCTTAACCACCTAGATTTTGGTAGTCACAACCTCCAAATGAATCCTACTCTGATTGCCTTGACTTCCATTAAAAACAACTCTTCTCAAGTGAGATTCACCTGCACTATTTGATATGTCTGACTTCAGATATTTTGCCTTGCTAAACTTCCTGTTTCTTGTTAGTTGTTACTGTGGGATACCACATATATGTGTCAAAGTTTTGTGTATTCCACCCTATTTGTGTCTGGTGGCTCAGCTGTGCACCTTAAAAATGCAGATTGGTTTTGACACAGTAAGTATTGAATCTTGTTGTCAAGATACATCAAATAGTTTGTCTTCAAAATAATGAGTAAAAGAGAGTCTGTCATAACCTGCCTGCATGTTTTGTAGATTAAAAATCATTCTTTATGATGCTTTGATATTATTACTTATCACACCTTAATTTTGGCTACTTACATTGCTTTTCCAATTTCTCTTATATTTAGCATGTATTATTCTTCCCTGAGTAACTAAAGGGGACTGGGAAAGAAGTAAAAGAAAAAAAGAATAGAAAATGAAAAGTCATTGATCGAACATGAGACATTAAAGTCTTGTTAAATTTCTGGCTCGGGAGAACTGTATGTAATATACCTGCATTCAAAAATTAAACTCACTGTAATAATCTAGAGGAGTGTGAGGAGAAAATATCCCCACTTTTCTTGTTCTTTATGATACATATAGATCTTAAATATCTAGATGTAACTACATCCTCTAGTTTTATTTAAGATTTGTAAGTTTCTTAATGTGCAAATAGTTTCTGAGATACATATGTATAAATAACTGCTTCAGTATAGTAATCTTACTCTAATGTAAAAGCTTTTTCTTTCATTAGTAAGGATTTATATTCTCTGTGTTGAAAGCGCAAGAAATATATTATTTGTCATTAGCTTGATTTTATATTAAAATGAGTTATATTAATCACCTTGCAGATATTCTCAGCATGTCTAAAAGTAATTAAAATAAGTATGCACCTTATGATATGAAGTTTACTCACCAATTTTGAATTAGCAGCTTTGCCAGTAGTTGAAGGATCAGAACATCAGCAGAAGAAGAAAACACTGAAGAAACACATCCTACTCCATTAGAAATGGTAAACAAGAGTGAAGACAGAAAACATAGATTTGTATTTGGGCCTACTTCATTTCTCTAGCCCATTTCTAAAACCAGTTTTTCCCTGCATATCTTAGTGCTAAGGAGTGATTAATCAATGCATTTTTAAATACTCAGACTATTTAAATCAGCATAGGAAGTTTTTGGCATAATTCTGCTTAAGAACTACATGTTCTTTCTTTCATTTAAATTTTGAATGCAAAGCACTATCTTATCTAAATAAAATTAGAAAAAAACCCCAGGCTTATCATGCAGAACACTATAAATCTACTTTGGAAATGGAAAAGTCTCATACAGAATTTCATATGGGAGTTGAAAATGATGCAGTATAATTATTCTTTAAGAAAATAAGGAAAACCCCACAACAAATATTTTTGAAGTGTAATCAGGCTTTTTTTTTTGTAAGCTGCAGTGGTGAACTTGTAATGAAGGAGCTCTGCTGTTACCTTTTTATTCTTTAGATGGAGTTGGAAAAATCGCTCCCTGTCTGAAGGCGCTGTTTCATAGGCTGCTTTCCAAGGACTTGCTGACCTTGGCAAGAATGAGATTCAGTGTTTCTGTAACTGCAAAAGAATGGGACATCACTTTGTTGGAGCCACACACATGAATAAATAAATGAATAAATAAATAAATAAATAAATAAATAAATAAATAAAGTGGTTTATTTTACTGTTGACATCTAAAGTAACTAAGACAATAAAGATCAACCCTAAAATTCTGATTTACAATGAAAGATTGAAAGGTGTACATGCAAAATGCTTTGATGTTTTCTGTCTGAAAATCAGCAGCCTTAATTGGTTCTGTCAGGAGTGATGAAGTGGTCTTCACAGAGAAACTGCTGTAATGGTAACACAGCTGGAAGCATCAGTGATGAAAATTCTATTTTGTTGCAGCAATAAGGGCAGGCTGAACACAGGTGGGAAAAGCATGTTCTCTGGCTGTGACTTTTGCTTGATAATCCTACCTGCAAAGAAACCCAAGTTGATGTTTGGACCACAGATAGTAACAGGCATCACTTCTATGTGTGTCCTCAAATTGCCAGATAACTCCACAGTGCACATACTATAGATAATAAGCAGCTGTTTTTGCCTGTGTCACAAGCTGTTGGAAATTTGTGTATGGATGACCCAGGTATGAAGAAAGAAAGCATCAAATCTTATTTGTTATTATTGTATCACCAGTTCTGCCTCCTCTTTCACTGCATTTTGTATTGAAAGAGGGCAAAACATTTTGTGAATCCATAGAATCCCCTAGAAGATAAGAATACTTTTCTCAACCTTGTTTTTCTTCTTTATTTACAAATGTGTGGTATCTCTGCCTTGTCTGTCCCATTTCCTCTCACTAAGTCTCCCCACCATTAAGGGCTGCTTCTTTCATGTCCCCCACATTGGCCTTTGAAAAATACAATAATAGCCCATATTCTTTCTTTGCACACAGAAAGTTAAATAGCTGTGTCTTTTTTTTGCATTGACAAGTTATTGATCAATAAAATGTCAAAACAGAGAGCAAGATATGGCATTTTAGTACAACAAAATTCAATAATCCTTTTTGTGATATTTATCTGAGCTGAAGAATAGTAATACTGAATGAAGATGGAGGACAGAAAAAGAGATGTGTCAGTGGAGCATAACAAATCCACAGGAAGGGTTTAGTTTTACTGAAATTCATTTGCTATTTTATATCTACAGTCATTCTAAGCAAAGTTACCTAAGGAATTAAATTGACACAAACAAAATAGATGCTCATTATGAATCAGAAAATTATTCTGAGCTGAGACAGATTTGTTTAAAAAGTCTGAGACTGACAATCCTGAAAGTAGCAGTTTTGTATGGTATTTTTATAAATATTTATTTTGTAATGGCAGACAAAGTTGAAACACCTTTGAATTCAACTTGTGAGTCCAGATATCAGCTACCCTGCTCTTGGCTAAGAATCTGTGATGTGATGACGAAAGGAAAACTACTAATAAATACTAATATATTCAAAGAACAGATTTTCCCAACATTTGTCCTGCTGCCTGATCTTAACCTAGATGCTTTAAGCATAGAAGGAACACTCTGTCTGAGTGGTACATCATTCTCTGCAGAGCTTATTTCTTCCTGTGGTAGTGGTACCTCAGACTTCTCAGAAGAGCATGGCTACAGAACAGGAGGCAATAGCCGCCAGCTGCAACAGCGGAAACTTTGACCAGGTATTAGAAAAGAATTCTGTGGAGGTGATTGGATGTTGTGGCATGTGATTGGCACAGATTATCCAGAAAGGATGAGAAATCTTCAATGTTGGGATGCTCAGAACACCATGAGACAAGGCCCTGTGCCTGCTGAGATAATTGACCCTGATCTGAGCAGGCTTTGCACCAGATGACCTGCAGGATTCTGTCCAGTTTCAGTTGCTCTGTGATTCTGTGGATCCAAGACTAAGCTTTTACTTACCTGGTTATCTGCCCTATCTTTTTGTCTTGTTCTTTTTGCTTTTACAGCCTAGTCAAAAGAAGATACCTAAAATTTACACTTAACTCTTGGGCTTTTTTCCAGCCCAAATTCAAGCTACTTGTATCCACTATTAAACATCTCCAAGGTTTATTTCATCATCTCTGTCAAGAATTAATGTGTTCCAGTTCTCTGACCTAAGCCACTAGATTTATCCCACAATAAAGTACAACTGATAAAATTTAAATCTCCTCTTGTTCAAAGGAACCAAAAGCTATTTCTTTTATATCAGAAAAAAACTTTGATCTAATGAACTGAACCCTTTGAAAAAGCTTGCATGGGGTCAAAACTTCCAAGCAGGTGTGGAAAGGTTTTATTTTATGGCAATTGAACCAGCCAACATAAAAAAATTGCAATAGAGACCCACAGAGCTTGCTTTTGCCACTGGTAATAACAACACAATAGAATAGAACAATACTCATTTTTTCTATGAATATCACAATATATGTCACTGAGATATCTTTAGACAACCTTTTCTAAAAATCAAGTAAAAATCTAGCAGAGCATAGCAAAATGTGAGTTTCACTGTGACAAATTAATGATGTCACATATTAAATCAAAATACCATAGTACATATTTTGCAGTCTGGAACTACCTCTGAGAGGCAGAAGGGAATAAAAGATTTGGGAATTAGAATTAATAAGGAAGGAAAAAAAAACCTGCCTGTGCAGCAAAATGCATTATTTAGATTCTGTATGGCTTCCTGGGAACCAGGAATTCCAGTAAGGAATACAGGTAAGAAGAAAAGCAGCTTGAGTGTGTGTGTTTCAGACAGACATATTTAGCAAACATAATTTTAAAATAAAAAACATAAAACTGGATCAAAGGTGCAGTGAGTTTTGAGTACTTAAATGACTATTTTTTTTTTACACAAGATTTAAATCACTTGTTTAAAAAGCCAGACCATGGTGGGAGAGTTTGTGAATGATGGAATCAATAAAGAATGCTTTTTTTTTAAATGCTGTCTTCCTAAATAAGCTGCTGAAAGTAGGATGGGCGAACTTATTAACAACTGAGGGAACACATCCAAAGTCATATTTCGAGGGACAAAAAATTTCCTCACTTGCCTGTTAGTCTTGTTGTGTGTTGCTAACACCTGGGAAGGCACTTAGTCACTCTGAATATATTTTATAAGGAATACTGCTTAAGTAAGAAACATTAGAGCAGTTTATCCTAGGGCAAATGAAAATTTGTGAGGTAGCTTGGTTTATGAATAACAATACCCAGAATGATTGTTATAAAATTGTAATGCAATAAAGATTGCATATAAATGTAAGCATTTTATATAAGGAAAATGGTTTTGTTTTGTTTTCTTGAGGATCGTTACATCAAAGATATTTCAAGTGAAAAAAAAGAGTAGGGGAATAATCAATTGTAATCAGTGTGGGGAAAGTATCCTTAATTTTCAAATGAAAGCTGGAATTTGAGCAGCCTTCTCTGTAACAGCTCATCATATTGAAAAATTCTTCTAGGTTGCCTGTAGTACTACAAATCATAATCAGAAAAATCACATATTTATATCTATCTATCTATACACACATACACTCATATATATAGGTCATCATGACACACTGAGCAAAGCTGCAGAATTTTGTCAGAGCATATAGAATTCCTCCTGTGGTCAAGCCTTGAAAATAATTTTGCTAATTAATTTTTCCTCTGAATTTAATTATTGTCCATTTTTTACAGACTTGAATGGAATAAGTGACAGTGTCTTTACATGAGTATTGTTCAGATTTCCTGCTGCTGTTAAACATAATAGTGAAATTTCAAACAGCAGCATCTAAATTATGTGTAAGCAGTGTGATTTAGTAAGCTATTTTCAGTGGTCAGTTCAATATCTACCCTATATACACACACCCAGGTTCAAAACTTTTCAATCACATTTTATTTCTTTGCAAGCAATTGGAGGTGGGGGGGAGGGGGTGGAGGCAGGGGAGAGGGCAGATGAATGAGATACCATCTACCATTTCATATCTGTCCAGGGTTTTATTTCCTCAACCTCATAAAGATACTGCTGCCAGTCTTCTAAAAATTCCCACCACCCAGATTCCAGGGTTGTTAGGGAATTTTTTGAAACCACTCTAATGTGCTGTTGTTTTCAGGCCTTCATAATGAAATGTATCTTTCTTACCACTACAGTGTTCTTCCAGCTCTTTGATTTTGCAAGGGGAAATTACATCAGGGCAAATAAACTGGCAGAGCTCGAGAAGGAGGTCAGTATCTGGTTAGAATTACATTTGAGATGCTTTTCTGTTGAAACTGTTTTGCCCTTTTTCAGATCTGATCACAAGTTCCCAGCACATAACAGCTCTCTGAATTTATTAAGGGGTTTGTCCAGGACACGGTCAGGCTGTTTCATCACTGGGGGGTTCTCTGAGAAGAATAAGTTACCCAAGAAGGCAATGACTCACTGAGAAGCATTTTAGTGATCAGTTTCAACTATGTTTTGGAAGACAAAGACAATGTTTGTCAATCTCTTTAAAGAGCTTCCCAGTGAGAAGTTTAATGCATTTGTGGGAATTGAGTTTCTGTTTTCAAGAGTAAACACTGTAAATCATGGACACAAAGCCACAGAAAATGAGAAATAAATAGGTACATTATACTTCAAATTACAGGGTTGAACTTTCCACATCACCAGGAAAATAATAATTTTATTTAATGGACATTATACTGAAGATACATAACAATTGTTTTACCCTAGAGTTACAGCTTCTGTCATTGGTATGTATGAACAGTGAACGTGTCTATCAAATGTTAATCTGTAAATGTGCTTTCCTCCAGAAAAATCCTACTCCCCATCTCAAAATGTAGCTAAGATAAAATCTTGAAAAAAGATTTCCAAATTTCTTTGGCCACCTTTTAAAATTATGTAGTCTGTAGTTTATATCTTCAGCTGCCACCTCAAGAAAAACCCTTCAGAACCTGCCTAGCACAACTTGCACAGTAATGTGTAGCTGCTTTGGAAGAAATTATTTCCCTTTGCAGTAGGTCCAGCAGTTGGTGTGGGGAGGCTGTATGCATTTGGGCTGATGTGTTAGTCTTCCAGAGGAGGATTTCTGTGTCTTTCTCTGTATTTTCCTGGCTTTTAAATACTGTCTGTTCCCTTCTAGGTCTCCTCAGAAATCCTCCT